TTATTATTTCTTGACTCTGGAATTTCTTTTGCTTAATTAAAGCCAACATTTACAATGAAATCATTAAATTCATTTGCAATGTCTTTAGTTTTATCAAGCACAATATCTTTATCTTTTTTTAAATAATCTGCATAACTCTCATTTTTTGAGCCCTTTTTGATTAGACTGTTTAATATCCTCCATGTTTCTTGTGTGTTACTTCTACTTTGCTCCAATAATTTGTGGTAATATTCTTTCTTACTTGTTCTTATAATATTTACTAATCTACTTTTATATAACTTGTACTTTATTTCAGCATCTTTTGTCCTCTGTTTTATGAATCTCTTGTATAGATAATTTTTCTTTTTACATGCATCTTCTATCCCCTTTGTGATCCATGGCTTATTTGATCTGTGATGCTTTCTAGTGATCTTCATTAAAGGACAATGTTCTTCATATAGTGAAATTACAGTTGATAAGAATGCATGATATCATAGTCATGACAATAAAGAAAAACCATTAAATGAGAAGGCGTGTCCAAACTTCTGACTGGTACATGATGAGTTTTAAGTGATGAAAGTTTTCTGGACAAAGAGAGCTTCTACATACTGAACAGATTTACTCACTGTTTATGGAGGCGGTGGTTTTCAGAGCGTCCCAGATGAGTGTTTTGGTTATATAGCAAACTAACACAGCATGATGTTACATAGTTACAGCTAATGTCCACTTTAACGAGTGAACATGAAGTTCCACAGTGCTGACTTGATCTCCATGAAACAGTTGAAAGAGTGTGTTGCACACCTGGTCTTATCGATTGTTGAAGGGCTGTCTGAGATATGAGCTGCAGGCTGTTAGATTTACATCAGCTTTGAAAGAACGACCCATTTCGCATGTACATTAGTTTACATGGTCTCTGTTGCACATTACTACTGGTCTGAACCTATAAACAATGTTCAAAAAAGCTGAATCTCTGAGGTTTGCCCTCATTTTCATTGTTGCTTGTTCAGTTATTTCTAATAATGAGGTCTCATCTCTTAAAGCACTCAGTAGTAAGAAAGTTTAATCACATATTTGACACATGTAGACTTTAAATGATCTATGATCTATTAAAAGTGTCTCACAGGTTTGTAATAGTGAAGTTAGTGGGCACAATCATTATGTTCACGATCAGACATACAGACATACAGACATACAGTGTGCAAAATCTCACCACTAGATGTCACTAGACTGTAGATTGCAGTCAATGATACTGTAAGGCTTTTAATCAAACTAGCAGTAACATTTTTGTATTATTAATGGCACACTATTAAACACTAATAAGTGCTCCATTGATCACTTATAAAGCTTCTTACTCCTTTGAGTACTTCTAATCCAATCATCTGCCTAATTTTTCTTCAGTTACTCGATTAGTCAGCGAATATTTCAATAACAAGTTTACAGATGATGCAGTGTAAAAGCTCTGAGGGAGGCTTGAGCTGATGTTCCCAGCTGCTGATGACCATGCTAAAGAGCCTCTTTACAGGACAAGCTATAATTATAACTATAATTAAAAATGTGATGTCCACCTGTACACACAAAAACTGAAGATTGGAGTTCTCAGCATTCGTTCATACCTTTATTAAAAGGTATCCACACCTTCTAAAACAACTTCGATAGAGCATGATATTGATGTGGGTGATGCAAAACCAATCCGGCAGAGGTTCTACAGAGTCTCTGAGGAAAAGAGGAAAATAATTGAGCAGGAAGTTCAGTACATGTTGGAAAACAACACTGCAGTGCCGTCGTCATCAAGCTGAGCTTCCCCATGTTTGTTGGTTGAAAAAGCTGATAAATCACCACGTTGTTGCACAGACTTTCGTAAAGTAAATGCAGTGACCAAACCCGATTCCTATCCTTTGCCTCATATTGACGACTGTATTGACCAAGTTGGTGCAGCAGAATATGTGAGCAAGTTTGTGGCAGGTGCCACTGACTCCCAGAGCTCAGGAAATATCTGCTTTCATCACGCCATCCGGTCTTTATTCATATACAGTCATGGGTTTTGGTTTACGCAATGCTCCAGCTACATTTCAACGACTCATAAATATGGTTGTTAATGGGCTGAAAGGCTGTGCTGTTTACCTAGATGACGTGGTGGTATATAGTAGCACTTGGGAGGATCATCTGGATCGTATTCGCACTCTGTTTGAACGACTAGTTTGGGGAAATCTGACTATCAACCTGGCGAAATGTGAATTTGCGAAAGCAACTGTGACCCATCTTGGCAAGGTTGTAGGCCAAGGTTATGTGAGGCCAGTTGATGCAAAGGTGTTGGCCATCAGAGAGTTCCCTGTTCCAGTAACCAAAAAAGAACTCAGGAGATTTTTGGGTCTGGTCGGTTATTATCGCTGTTTTTGTCGAAACTTCTCAACAGTGTTTGCTCCTCTGACTGATTTGTTGAAGGCCAAAGTAAAGTTTATTTGGTCTGCAGCATGCCAGCAAGCTTTTTGGGATGTAAAAGCTTTACTATGCTCTGAACCTGTGCTTTTAGCACCTCGTCTGGATCAGCCATTAAAGCTGTATGTGGACGCAAGCCACATTGGTGCAGGTGCTGTTCTAGTCCAAGCTGACAAGCAAGGTACTGAACATCCAGTTAGTTTCTATTCCAAGAAGTTCAACTCCCATCAGCTGAATTATTCAGTCATTGAAAGGGAAGCTTTGGCATTAGTTTTGGCCTTGTAGCATTTCAGAGTATATTTGGATTCTGCTCGGCCAATTGAGGTATCTTCTGACCATAACCCTCTCACTTTCTTGAACTCATTGCAGAACCCAAATCAGAGGCTCATGCATTGGCTCTCTTTTTACAGCCTTACACTTTGGACATCCAGCACATTAAGGGCACAGATAATGTCTTGGCAGATGCTTTGTCCCGTGCCCCTTTGTAACCAGCAGCTTCACTCCTCATATGCTTTGAAGTATGAACTCTCCAGTATCGTTTTCCTTCCTCTTAAATTGCTCCTAGGTACCAAGGTTGCTGAGGTTGGAAATGTGCTGAAGATGGAAGGACTTTGAGCATGCAGAAAGGTGTTGCGTGGGTGTACATATGTTGGACATTAATCTCTACATGTTCTTCTAGCTGCAAATTCATAATGTACATGATTGTGTTTGTCGCCTCAGGGTGAAACTCTGTTCTATGGGGGGAGTGTGGCAGCCAGTGGGCTGGCCTTTTGTTTTGCTTTTTCTGTTACCTGTTTCTTGCAGGTAGGTGGAGCTGACCCAATTATAGATGCAGCACACCTGAGAAGGCCAGTCCCAGTATATAAAGACACCTTGACTGAACCATGGGCGGCTGTCTCCATCCATCGTGTTTATTTGAGGCTTCAGTTATGGCTGTTATATCATTTCAATTGTGTTTCAGTTTCTTCACCTTATTTTCATTAAATATATCGTACAGCCTTTAAAAGCCTGTGTGTGGTCTCCCACTTGCTTGTCACTTCCTTTGAGCTGGGTTGTGACAGACCCGACTCAAAGACAGACATTTTCCAATACAGTAAGAGACAGTCAATCGAACGGCCTCTGTGCTGGTGAAATTCAGCAATGCTCTGGGGACTCGTTCAGTGGAGTGGCTTTACAGATAAAAGCTCCCAACATAAAGAAAAATGGCAGCAAGGAACTTGAGCTGAAGACTGAAGATTGAGGGAAAATGTGTTTATTGCAGAAGATCAAGCACATACCTCAGAATTACTTTGGCTATTTTATTTCTATCCCATAGCTTTAAAATTCTTTGGATGTTCTTTGACATCACACATGACATGAAATACAAGCAGATTCTGGAGTGGCTTAAATGATTTGAATTACTAACTACACTGTATTTTTACACACCAGTGCTGGAGCTCCCACAGATCCCACGAGGCAGGTCAAGTTTGGCTTGATTAAACACCGGGGCATCACATCCACTAAACATTCTCAGGATAATGTTCAAACTGTTCATCACCTTTATGATATTAACTAGAATGCAGAATGTTACTATGGTGCTGATCAGCAGCTTCATGAAACCATAGGTATTTGTATCCATTCTGTGAGGTCTTGTGGATAAAGTCAAGTTAATGACAAGGTGCAATAACAATTTTGGCATCTATGGTACATAGATGGGTGCTTCTGGCTCCCCATATACAGTATGCATGGTCAACCGATTTGGCTCAGTGTGACACTCTTCGTGTTCAAGCCCATAGTTTCAGAGATTCATTCATTCATTGTGCAACAGCTGCTAATATTTTCACTGTCTGCAGAACTGGAGGGCTCTTAATCTTCACATGAGTTCAGAGTTCAGCTGGCACAGCGATTTAGAATATTTTACCTCATGAGGGTATATTAAATTTAGTCTATGGTATTCAGAAAGTAAACAGTACAAGGACTGTGTTTGTTGGGCCAAAACCACAAAAGATGATCTCCTTGATGAGGAGGAGTTGATACAACCCCTCTTCTCTGACTCCGCCCACCTCTGCACTGCTGCTTGAGTTTGGTTTGCAGTTCTGCTGACAACCCCGACTCTAGACGATATGAATATAACAGTGCTGAAAAAAACAAAAAACAGAGTCTCTTCCACCAAATCCAATATTTACATTTTTTATTAGAAATGGTCAACACCTGTAACATATCTGACTCAACTTTGCATGTTTCCTGCAGGTGAAGGGCTGCTCATCATTGGAGGACACAAAGTAGAAAGCATGAGTGAGTCACTAATGTCTTTGTTTCAAATCCTGCTAAAGATAAAGTCTTCATTTGAAATATAAAAACAAATGAATAATACATAATATATGTCCAGGTATTTTATGAGGAAACACAATTATTATTTAAATATCCCACATATTCACATAGGATGGTCCTTGAACATGTATCATCTTTAGCTTTTTTTTAGGATTGATCTACTATGAGACTTCAGTCTGATTTGATGGCAGATTATGCTTGTTCCCTTGCTCTTAAAGAAGTTCCCGCTAAAGACCCCTAAGAGTTACGTTCCAGAAGTAGTACAGTACACACTTTATTATTCGTGTTAGACAGCAGTAATCCTGTCCCTGTCCTGTGTAAGCCCAGTGTTCCTCCAGCATCACTTCCAGGATATTTTTGGCCAAATATCCAGAATTTACAAAGTAATTAGAATACAATTTCTGTTAAATAAGATAACATTTTAAGCATAATAGTCTGAAAACAGAAGGGGAGATTATGGGTTTACTCCACATTTGTTCAGATGCTGCTGACTCTAATCTCTGGTAACCACATTTCCTTAAAACCTTTGCTACATATATATAAGGTGAATCCTGCATTTTATAGGAATGTTTTCTGTACGTAACACTGGACAGAGTAACCTATTAAGCTGTTGCGTGAGGATGTTATAAATGAAAATTGGCACCAAGTTTGGCTTTGTTGAACGGGCCTTGTGATGTGTGCCCCCAGACTGTTTATGTAGGTTTTCAGTCATCCAGGTCGAAGCAGTGTAGGGACAACCCCCACGAGGGTTTAAACACCTATGACTCTCCACCATTGGGTTTTAGAAATGACGAGGCCTCTTGGATGAGCGGTGAAATGTCTTCACAAAACTTAAAGTCACTTTCTTTCCAAGCTCCTTTTACTGTATTCCCAAAATATAAAATCATTCCGAGAAAGACTTCAGGAAAGATACATAGTGAGTAATGTATAATGAGATACATATTAAGCTTTCCATGTTAAAGAAAGTATTAAATGTTAACGATCTACATCCACAAGATAAAGCAATCTCTAAATTTTCCATTTACAAGATCCTTCAACAAAGGCATAGTGAGTTACTCTTTCTGGGCACTGCAGGTTCATGCAGCGTTAAGGAAAATCAGAACCGGGACAACCACGTCTCCAAAGAGGGAATTGCAGCTGAGGCTGTTCAACTCCCCAGTGGGAATGCGAGGCATGGGCGGAAACGTCCCTTAGAAGAAGGCAATAATGGGCATACCAATTCCAGGTACAGGCCCAGGAAGCGTAAGAAAGTCCCTCGGCCCATACCGCCCAAAAATGCTCTTATGCAGCTGAACGAGATCAAGCCAGGGTTGCAGTATAAGCTCCTCTCTCAGACTGGGCCGGTCCATGCACCAGTCTTTGAGATGACCGTGGAGGTCAATGGGCAGGTTTTTGAAGGTCTGGGTCCTACCAAGAAGAAGGCTAAGCTGAGTGCAGCAGAAAAGGCACTGTGCTCCTTCGTCCAGTTTCCTAATGCATCGGAAGCACATGCTGCCATGGGCCGGACCCTGTCTGCTCACACGGACTTCACCTCGGACCATGCCATTCCAGATATGCTCTTTAGTGCATCGGAGACATTCAACCCTACAGAAGACACTTTTTACCTTGGTTCCAATACCAGTTTCTTCAGTTCACTGGGAATAGAGTACCCATTGCCATCCTCTCCTGTCCCAAACCTGGCACAGTCTCCCTTACCTCCAGCACCCTCCGCCTTCATCTCCCTAACAGCCGGCAAGAATCCTGTCATGTTTCTCAATGAGGTGCGGCCAGGCCTCAAGTATGACTTTGTGTCAGAAAGCGGGGAGAGTCATGCCAAGAACTTTGTCATGTCGGTGACGGTAGACTCTGAGAATTTCCAGGGTTCTGGGCGCAATAAGAAGCTGGCCAAGACCCGGGCTGCCCAAGCTGCTCTGTCTGCTCTCTTTAAGATACAGCTGGACCAGACACCATCACGACAGCCAATACCCAGAGAGGGACTGCAGCTTCACCAGCCACAGGTGAGCATGGAAGAAATCAGTCTGTCCCTCCGTCTGACTCACTGACAGACTGACGTCTGTGTGGCCTCTTCCTGATGACAGCATATTTGTCACACATGTTTCAGATCATCATTGGTGAGGGTGAGATGATTATACAGCATCTTTAATAACTTTAAAAAACAAGAATTGGGTGCACAAGTTAGTATTTATTTTGGATTTCTTTTAATACACAGGGCCAGACTTATGCATGTCTGTGCATTGGGACCAGCAAAGACTGTTCAATTCAATTTTATTCAAATAGCACCAAATCACAACAACAGTTTCTTCGAGGTGCTTAGCTGACCGTAACTACATAGAAGAGTAACTCTGCATTTGATCTTAGCTCATGTTTAAATCCTTTAATTTGCTGGCCGGGGTTTCTGATGAACTTCAGCGATGCTCTATTTTGAGAGTTCTTGAACTCTGTAAGAGCCCCTTTCTTTAACCACAAACAATGGAAAAGTGGAACACGGATGTGTCTTGATGCATGCTCAGTCATCCAGGAGAAACGTTTCGTCACTCATCCAGGTGACTTCTTCAGTCTCAGCTGACTGCAGGTTTCCCCAGCCTTATAAACAGTACATTTGCAGAGTAACATAGTGTACGCTGTTAAGTGCCAGGAGGATATGGCGTTATTTTTGTGCCACTATTCTGAGTGCACATAAAAAAAAAAATTGCTGTAAAAGCTGCTGCTCATGATATCGGTTTGGATACGTGGTGAGAGGGAAACATGAAGGTGATACAAATCATACCAACAAGACAGTGTACATCACTGTCACAACAGTGTTTGTTTTAGTTCAAAGGCTTTATGGTTTTTCCTGTAATACCTGGTGGTGTAGTCGGTGATTTCTTTTGTCAGTTCAGCCTTTTGTATTATGTTTAACCCGAGTGACCACCCGGTCAGCTGGTGGGTAACGGGCATCTCCGAAAACGTTAGAGCACTTTTGCAAATATGTGATGTCTTGATGAATCGAGCAGATATTTGAAGTTTACACAGAAACATTCTCGCATGAAAATATCTTAAAAGTTTATTTTGTGACCCAGAAAGAGTAACATTTCAAACTCCGCCCCTCTGTGTTCCTCCGCCACTGCCTCGTTTGAGTTTTGCATGAAATGCATTCTGGGATATTGCATTTTGTCATTTCGAGCTGATTGGAGACCAGAACAGCCAATCAGGTTTTTTTGCATCCAAGTCTGTGATTGGCTGGTTTTGTGGCACAAATATAACGGTGTAGTGAAAGAGTTGAAGGCACGGGCAGAAATGTTGAGACCGTGAGCAACACATTGTGATCGAGCGCAAATGCAAAAACTGAGCGAGAGTGGCTGCTGATGTGTGTGTGGATAATAGCAAACACTGAAATACATGTTTTGCACGCAGCAATGAATTTTGTTCACTCAAATTCAGCTTTTCGCTCAAAATAAATTTCTCCTCAAAATGCAACACTTGCACCTGCAAACTTTTTTTTACGTGCGCTCAAAATAGTGGCACAAAGATAACGCCATAGGAGGATTGCCAGGATTTATGCATCAGGGAAACCAAACAACCTCTGGCTACAACACAGAAGTTCTACCTCGTCAGGCCTGGACTCTGCAGTCTATCTACACCTACAGGCCAGTGGACACTCTTTCAATGATGAGGATGTAACATCCTGGACAGGGAGGAACGCTGGTTTGAGGGCGGAGTCAAGGAGTCCATTTACGTGAAAAGAGAAAGACCATCTCTGAATCGAGGAGGGGCCTAAGGGTACATCTGTCACCATCTTACAATGCTGTGATTGCAGCCATTCCCCAACTCTCTGTGAATGGGACTCATGGTTATTGATCAGTGGTTGTTGATCAATGGTCATGAGAATTTGCATATTAATGATGAAGGAGCTGACCTCCCAGCCCATTGTTCCTTCAGTGGGCTGGTTTCAGTCATTATGCAAATGTCCTGTTTATAAGATTGAAACCTGCAGTCAGCTGAGACTGAAGACGTCACCTGATGATGACGAAACGTTTCTCCCGCTGAAAACATCCAGATGAACAGAATCAACTTTTGGAGAATACGGATGTGCTTGTGCAACAAATCCATTCCTGTTCTGATGAGGGGGATTTAAAGTGATTACCTGAACCATGTAAGTGACAAATATAAGAAAAAGAAATCAGGAGTGAGGATTTCTTTTGGACTACAGCCTGAGTTGAATGAGGCAGTGGGCTGTATTGATCATGGACAGATCCTCATTGCTCATGACCACGCTGTCTAAGGCTGATTGAAGATGATAGCTTTAGGAGATAACTTTCATGATGCTGAGAAGCTATATAAACATGCTTCCAATTCCTATATTACAACAAAGCTGCTATGTTAACCCTCTGTGTGCTATTCAAACACTGCAATTTGTTATACCAGCCTTTCCAAGTCATTTGTTGAATTAAAGGATTTGGGTGTTTTTTGAAGCTACTCACATCCCTGCTTGGCTTTCACAGTTATGCAGCATTCCTTAATGAAATAAGGAATGATATACTGAAATATGGATTTAAGCTGCTTTAAGTAACTTCTTATCCTCCTTCACTAACATTTTCTTTTGCTAATGTTTGTTAAATACAATTGGAAATACAAATGGATATTTGTTATGTCTTATTTCACATAATTTCACTGTTGCACTTATGTGTCACTCCTCAGGTCCTGGCAGATGCAGTCTCTCATCTAGTTATTGATAAGTTCAGCAAACTGACGGATAACTTCAGGGCTCCACATGCTCAACGGAAAGTCTTGGCAGGTGTTGTCATGACAGCAGGTATTCTTGTAGCCCAGGTCATCTCCTAATTAGAAGGTTGCTAGTCTGATCCCAGCTGCTCCGAGAGTTTAAATGTGTACATAAGGCTCATGCCACCAACCCCCAACCAAATCTGCAGGAGATCTATAGTGAGGTACGCGTACTTGTTCAACTCAATTCAAATGACTTTTATTTATACAGCACCAAATCACAACAACAGTCGCCTCAAGGTGCTTTATACTGTAAGGTAGACCCTACAATACATACAGAGAAAAACCCAACAATCATATGACCCCCTGTGAGCAAGCACTTTGGTGACAGTGGGAAGGGAAATGCAGAGAGGCCTATTAACACATAGTGACTGAAGAAGAAACTCCCAGTGCATCATGGGAATCCCCTGGCAGCCTACGTCTATTGCAGCATAACTAAGGGAGGATCCAGGGTCACCTGGTCCAGCCCTAACTATATGCTTTAGCAAAAAGGAAAGTTTGAAGCCTAATCTTGAAAGTAGAGATAGTGTCTGTCTCCTGAATCCAAACTGGAAGCTGGTTCCACAGAAGAGGGGCCTGAAAACTGAAGGCTCTGCCTCCCATTCTACTTTTAAATACTCTAGGAACAACAAGTAGGCCTGCAGAGCGAGAGCGAAGTGCTCTAATAGGGTGATATGGTACTACAAGGTCATTAAGATAAGATGGGGCCTGATTATTTAAGACCTTGTATGTGAGGAGCAGGATTTTGAATTCAATGTTTAAGTTGTTTGTTGCTGGTTTTTAGTTTGTTTTTTGTCTGTTTGGGAGCTGACACAGTCTCTGTGGAGATGGGTTTGGGGGGGTAGCAGGAGGAGAGAAGCTGCAGAGAGGCGTGTAAGACTGCGACTCTGCTTCCTGGTCCCAACTCTGGATAGTCATATTTTGGGGGGTTTAATAAAGTTGTGGGATGGATCCAAGGTGGGATGGATGCATCTCTCTTTATAATCTGTTTATTCACAAGTCAAATATTGAAGTATTAGTTTGAATGAAAGCCTTACTAGTACTACATGTAAAGCTGGCTTAATTCAGAAAGATCGATCTTACTATAACTACAGCTTAGAAACAAATATGTAAATTAGGCAAGTTCAATTACTGATAAACTTTTACACTTCTTACAAAGACCAGACTATTGGGATACTTAATATTCTGTTTCTTCTGGGCTGCACTGTAACTGCACATGTGAGCATATTTTCTATACATGACAGCAGGCACACAAAGGGACACAGGTACCAATAGGGGGAGGCATTGAGAGGAGGTATGAAAATAATACATTAGCTAAGGTAACCCTTACTCCTAGCATGTCAACATCTGGTGGCCTGGCATTGATCTTAATGCATCTAAATCACAGTATCAGCTGAACCATTAGTTCAAGGGCAAAGTGGCCGTCGGTTGGAGGTCAAGCAACTGCTGTTAATCAAATCAACCAATTTGAACTCAGGAACTTCTTTAAACCAGCTGGGGCAGGGATAGCTCAGTAGGTAGAGTGGTCGGCCCATGATCAGAAGGGGGTCGGGGGTTTGAATCCACTGAGCGGTTACCCTGAGGTTCCATCTCTACACACAGCTCCCCAGGTGCTGGATTGGTAGCTGCCCACTAAGTGAATGGGTTAAATGCAGTGGACTAGAAATTCCCCCGTGTGGGACTATATGGAATTAAATGTTTAAAAATTAATCAGCAGTCTCTGACAGTCTCAACAGTGAGAAGACACGAGTGAAACCAAACATGGTGCATGATCATGCTTCATAACAAGGTAATGTTTGATGGTCTATATCTGCTTTACAGCTTATGCACATGGGCTACACAACTTGATAATCTTGTGAGTAAAATGGGTAGAGCTCTGTCAGCGGTGGGAAAAGTTCCAAAATAAATGACACCAAATATTTTGAATACATTAGGTTAGTCACAGCTTGATTATTGTGTGGAGGTGTTTCAACTAAAGTAATTAAAAGTTCCAAGTTTAAATCATGCTGCTCATTGTGCATTGCAGTGCTCTTCAAGAACCAGTGCAAATCCGATTTATCATAACTTGGGCCGGCTAATTGTTCGAGGTCATGTCATGATCAGAAATGTACTAGTGAAGAGATTATGGACGATGTTACATCAAAATTGAGTAAAGGTTATAAATAGAAAACACTAATCTACCAAGTTGATAAGTTTCAGTTCAGTGAAAGCACTACTTCACAACAAAAGATGGCTCATGTGAGCAAGCATGAGTGGGAAGGAAAATCTATCTTTTAAGAGGAAGAAACATCTGGTAGAACCATGTTCATGGAGGGACAGTCATCCATCATGTTTGAGGTGAGAGTAAAGAGAAGACAGCAGAGAGAGAGAGACTGGAAATATGGTAAACTAAAGGATTGTTAATGATTAAATACATTAGTGATATATAAACACGCACCAAACAAAGGTGAGTGACGAATTTAGTCCATCATTGGAAGTCCAGTTCAGTGTAACTTGTTCTGCAGCAATGAGGTTGATCAAGCCTTGTAAGCTGCTGCTACTAATTCCTACAGCTGTTCCAACCTTTCTGGATTACTCCCCCCTCTGTCTGCATAAAAGCAGTGCTGGGACACACTGATGTACCCTCGTGAGCATCAGCTGAACACTATTGTACTGCAGAAAGTAATGTGTTGCTACAAACATGGTGAGAAAGAGGCAATTAACAGTGGAAGAGACACAGACCATCATAACACTTATAAATGTCGGTCTGTCCTACAGAGAGACTGCAAGTCAAGGTGTCAGTGAGTCCAGTTTCCTTCAGCATCAAAGGCTCAGAAACTGTGACAGCAGGAGGTCTGCAGACCCAAAGACACGACTGACTCACAGGACAAGTTTCTGAGAGTTAACAGCTGTGTGATCAGCAGCTCACAGGACAACAGCTTCAAGCAGCTTCATAGTGGTCGTAGTGAGAAAGTCTCAGTTTCAGCTGTGAAGAGAAAACTTCAAGCTGCAGGTTTGACAGGACGAGTTGCAGCAAGAAAGCTCTATCTGTCCCACAGGATCTTAGCTCGTTCATTCTCCACCTCCTTTGGGGGTATAGGAGCCATATGAGTTGCTCCTTTTTTGATTAAGTGCGTTGGTTTAAATGGACTCACTGTATTAGTGCACTGCTGAGTATGGATATGCTAAAGCTAAATCTTTGCTCCAGGAGAACTTTGGCAATTCGCTGAAAATTGCTGCTGCCTACATTGAAAGGGTCAGTAAATGGCCTCCTATACAATCTGATGACGTGAAGGCTTTGCAGGAATATGGGTTTTTATTAAGGCAATGTTGCAATGCAATGGGAGACGTTGAGTCCTTGCATGAGTTGGATGTCTCTGCTAATATGCAAGCAGTTATAAAAAAGTTGCCTTATAAGCTCAGGGATAAGTGGAGGAATGTTGTGTGCAATCTGCAGGAGAGGTTTCAACGTAAAGTGGTTTTTAGCGATGTTGTTGAGTTTGTCGAAAGGCAAGTGAAGATCGCAAGTGACCCATTGTTTGGAGACATAAAGGATCCTCCAACAGACATCAGAAAAGAGGCGAGGAATGGTAAGTCTCAGTTTTACCCTACGGCTAAGAGGAGTAGTTTTGCTACTATGGTGGCCAAGGTGGAAGGGAAGATTGAGCCAGCGTTGAGGCGTTTGAGTGGTTCAGTTGTGACCAAGGCTTGCTTGTTTTGTGGAGCAGGGCATTTGTTGGATTTGTGTCCTTCATTTGAAAGAAAGTTACACTGTGAAAGATTATCTTTTTTGAAAGAGAATGGTGTGTTTTGGTTGTCTGCGCATTGGGCACAGAAGCAAGGACTGCAGGAAACGTCTCATGTGTAAAGTCTGTAATCAGAAACACCCCACACTCTTACATATCCACTCCAAGCAGAGGGAAAGTGTTTCAATGCAAACTATAGGAGGGAGAGAACCACCAGATGAAGGTCCTTCGTGTGCTGTGAAAAGCAGTGGTGTTACTGGGGCTGGTGAGCAAAATAGTGCTCTGTCCATGATACCAGTTAGAGTGAAGTCCAAGAAAGGTAATCAGTCACTGATAACCTATGCTTTTCTAGATCCTTGGAGCTCCGCTTCATTTTGTACTGATGGGCTCATGAATAGGCTGAATCTTTCAGGAAGGAAAACTGGCATTCTGTTGCGGACAATGGGTCAGGAGAAAATGGTCAGTAGTTATGTGGTTCCAGATCAGCTGGTTTGTGCTGCCAGACACTTGTGGAGTCCAGGCAGCTCCTTCAGCCGGCATGAATCATGTCAGGGCCTGATGCTGTCCAACTCTTCATACTGGAGCTTACTGGTCTCCTATAAACAAGCATTTGGTGACAGTAGGAAGGTAAAACAGCTTTTAACAGGAAGTAACCTCTGGTGGAACAAGGATCAGGTACGGGTAGCCATATGCAGCAATTGGCTGGGGTAAGAGGAGGGAGACAGGGCCATGTTTGGACAGGTATCCTTATTATGCAGATTGGAAGATAAGATATGTGGAAAGATAAAAGAAACAGGGAGATTTTCAGTTGAAGCCACATAAGCAGTAGGGGTGCAACGATACACAAAATTCACGGTTCGGTTCGGTTCGATACTTTGGTGTCACGGTTCGATATTTTTTCGATACAAAAAAATGTTCATGCCTTTTTAATTTGTCATTTATTAAAATTATAAATATATATTTTAACACAAAAGTACAGTTTTTAA